TTTTGTCGACAAAAACAAAAAAAAATTATTAATATTTTTAATGTGTTTATCCGCGTATCAACGCGTGTCCTAATCTTGAAGAATGACTTTTCTTCCGATGGTTTGAGGTTTACTTCAGCGATGAGGCCTTGGTGGTGGTTAGGGTGTGGGTCGGGATTGTGGCGGTGGTTCGTGATGAAGGTTAATGTTCATCTATAGATTGGTGGTGAGATTGACTTTAATTTGCGAAAGTCGCTCTTGTGCTCCGATCGATCTCCTTCTAGATCTGGCTCTGTTTGCCGTTTCAGTGGATCTCCTCTGTCGTTGGTCGTCTCTCTTCTATGAGGTCTGTTTTTTCGTTTGTTGGATCAATGAGTTTTGACTTCTCGTGGTTTGGTTCCGACTTTGTCCATGGGTGTTAATCTTCTCTGTTAATTTGTTTTGTCTAGCTGTAGTGTTTTCTTTGCCTTCTCGTTTGAGATGGCTTGTGTAGTCTATTAAGGTAGTGTAATGCAGAGGTTTTGTCAAAGTCGGTTGTGTCTGTATGCGTTTCGGCTTGGTTCGTGTTTCTGTTTGTCAAGCTTATGTAGCTAGCCTTCTGGTTGGCTGTATGGTTGGTTGTTTGCTGTTTCCGAGCTGGTTTTGTCTCTGTTATTTCAGCTTCTTGCCGAACCTAGCTGGTTTGCTTCCCGTTGGCTGGAGTCCTATTTGGTAGTTTGGCTCTTATCGGTTACATTGGTGTGTTTGGTTTGGGCTGTTGTGCTTATTGGTTGACTTTTTTTGTTGAAGATAATGTTTCTCGAGCTCATATCCCTCGCCCAGCAGATTTGCTTCATTTTCATTCGTTTTTTTCAGAATAATTCTTCAATCGGCGACGTACATCAACAGCTGGCCAGCTACATTAATTTAGAGTGGCTTTGTTGAATATCATTTGGAGACTCCTCGAGTGGATGGTTTGCTCTTTTCTTGTTTGGTGACATTTTTCTTCATGGTTTGCACCGGCTCATCTGATTTGTGTGTAGTTGTTGCCTCTGTCATGGATATGGTGGCTGCCTTGCTTCGGTCCTTGCATTCGTTCCGTGTGGTTCTGGTTTGGTGAGCTTGTGGTCGCATATGTATTACTCCTGTGTTTGATAGGTTGTCTTTCTTTGTTGTGGTTCTTTTGTATTAGTTTTGCCTACGGGTTAAGGTTTGGACCTTGTCTCTCTTTTTTGGGTTATTGGTTCTAGACTTTTGATTCCGTTTTGGTTTAGCTACGGTTGGGTATGATCTGTTCTGACCTTGTTCTTATGTGTAATATCCCATCATTAATAATATTTCCATTCTAGATGCCAAAAAAAAAATATCTAAATCTTTTATATATATATCAAAATTGAAAGGATCATATCCGCTCAAAAGTTATCAACTTGAGAACATTGAGTCTTCATTTTTGTGGCTTTCCCATCATTATTCATTTACTACTTAATATGAAGAGTATAGGTGAAAGAAATAACTAACATAAATAACATTTCCTTTGGAAAAATGTCTCTCATTTCAAATCTCTTGCTCGACAATACAACCAATCTCGCTCCTTACGCAATTCTCATTCTCACCACAATCTTCTCGATTCGCTGGTACCTCTTCAACAGCCAATCGCAACCACCTCTGCCGCCTGGACCGCGAGGGCTGCCTATTGTCGGAAACCTCCCGTTTCTTGACCCGGATCTTCACACATACTTCACAAACCTCGCTCAAAAACATGGTCCAATCTTCAAACTCAATCTCGGCTCAAAACTAACCGTCGTGGTCAACTCTCCATCGCTAGGGCGAGAGATCTTGAGGGACCAAGACATCAATTTCTCAAACCGAGACGTTCCTCTCACGGCCCGAGCCATTACCTATGGCGGTATCGACCTGGTCTGGTCACCATACGGTGTCGAGTGGAGAATGCTTAGAAAATTTTGTGTTGTCAAGCTTCTTAGTCATAGAAGTTTGGATTCTTTCTATGAGCTTCGACGCAAAGAGATCAGGGAAAGAACGAGATATCTATATGAGGAAGGTCAAAAGAAATCGCCGGTGAACGTTGGAGATCAGTTGTTTTTGACCATGATGAATCTAACGATGAATATGTTATGGGGAGGATCGGTGAAAGCAGAGGAGATGGAGAGCGTTGGAACAGAGTTTAAAGGAGTGATTTCTGAGATAACTAGGCTTTTGGGTGAGCCTAATGTTTCGGATTTTTTCCCGTGGCTAGCGAGGTTCGATCTTCAAGGACTTGTGAAGAGGATACGTGCGTGCGGTCAAGAGCTCGATGCTATATTCGATCGAGCCATTAAACAGATGCAAAAGCTAAAAAGTAGGGATAATGGTGAATGCAAAGACTTTTTGCAACACTTGATGAAGTTAAAGGACCAAGAAGCTGACTCGGAGGTTCCTATTACGGTTAACCATGTCAGAGCCGTACTCACGGTAATTAATGGCTTCATTTTTCATAATTTTAGAATACAAACATTAGGAAGAATATAGCATATTCGTCGAAAGTGAAAACAAAAAACATACAATTGTGTGAAATATGATTGTGGAATCATTAGCCG